TCCCTTCCCATGGTGGAGATGTTGCTCCCTATCCGCCGACGGGTGCCATATGGCGGACCTGGGACCCCCCCCTATGAAAAGAGTACACTGGCCCGTGTGATGCGCAATGCACCGAGGGCGTCGCACATACTCGCAGAGTGACCCCTCGCAAACGTTTTCTCTTTTTAATTCTTATGGAAAAGAAGTTCGCCCCGATAGGAAGGATCGTAAGCATCTCCGCGGCGGATCCAGGCCACTGGCGAGCAGCTACTGTGCGAGCAGTGGAGCGCGCTTGTCCAGCAATCAGGAAGGCAAGCTGTGCACATTGGAGGAGGAACCTACCGGCAGGTATGTACGCGTCCCCCACCGCCACGGCTGGATGTGCGCGAAAGAATGGACTACAAAAGAAATTAGCAGGAGGGGGGCGAGGAGCAGAAAACAAGTGGTAGAACCAGACGGGTAGATCGGGTGGGCAGACCTGTTGCAGGCAGGTCGGGAAGGCGGGCCCAGGCGACCAGGTCGAGCAGGCGGGCTGCTGAAGCTTGGGACCTGCATGAATCGCGAGGAAGCCTCGAGCGATAGCGCGATTCCCAAGTAAATCGTGAGAAAGCCCAGAACGAGAGCGTGATTCCTGAGCGCCGATGGCGCATTGTTTGAATCAATTGCGAGGAAGTCCCACGCGAGAGCGCGATTCGTGCGTAAGTTGTAAGGAAGTCCCGCGCGAGAGCGCGATTCTTCAATACACTGCAAGGAAGTATCCGGCGGGAGCCGCTGTTGTTGTAAACCAGGGGCCAGGGGCGCAGTTTGAGAAGGAAGATTCTCCTAGATTAAAACAGGGTGCGAGCGTCAGGAGGGGCACTGCAATTGAAACACACAGATGTTACCGGAGGGGGGAAGTGAGAATTCAACAATCCGCAGCGCAGGACCTCACTTCAGCCACACACCCAGGACGGTTCGGCCCCCTCACTCCTGACATACGTACACTCATACACACATATATATATATATATATATATATATAATATATATATATATATACAAATATATGTATCTGCGTGCGTGTTTCGACAGCTGTCGTCTGGAGAGCTGGCCGGAAAAATACGCACTACACGTTGGCACCCGGCGGCTCTGCCCATCCTCCTGGGACAGGGCCCAGAGCCCTCGGTGCACCTACGTGCGGTCCCCACCCGGGCAGACCGGCCCCCGCCGTGACGAACCCCCCGCCCAGCCCCAAGGCGTGGGCGGGCGGCCCGAGGAGGCGACCACGAGGGCGAGGGAGACGCCACGGAAGGAGCTCGTCACGGATACACGCACGAAGCGGAAAAACCCACGGGGAAGGGACGTCCGAACGATAGCGAGCAGGGGGGGATGTGGGCCCAATGGGGGAGGGGTAAGCGCCAGCGCGCAATCGTCCACTCGTCGCGGATCGGGGCTCGGGCGCCGCACTCTGCTCGGGTGTGTGCGCGGCGCTTTCGCTGTCCGGGATCTCCAATCGTCGAATTCTTGGCGATGCCCGAGCTCAGGCCGAGGTCCCCCCCCCGTGGACCAGCACGGGGAGCAAAGCCTGCTGCATGCAGCCGGTGTCGGCCCCGCCGCCGGTCGCCGCGCCCTCGATGCACGGTGGCGCCTCGGGCGCCATGGAGGCGCCGGAGACATCGGCAGCGTGAGCTGTCTTGCCGACCCGCTCTCCCCCTGTACTATACCTCCCCTCCTCGTCCTCCTCATCCTCCTCCTCCTCCTCATCCTCCCCCTTTCCCACCGCATGTGGATGGCAGGCAACTCCGAGGCAACTCCTCCTCCTCCTCCTCCTCATCCTGCTCCTCCTTCTCCTCCGTCTCCTCCTCCTCCTCCTCCTCCTCCTCCCTCCTCCCTCCTCCCTCCTCCCTCCTCCCTCCTCCTCCTCCTCCTCCTCCTCCTCCTCCTCCTCCTCCTCCTCCTCCTCCTCCTCCCCCTCCTCCTCCTCCTCCTCCTCCTCCTCCTCCTCTCCTCCCTCCTCCTCCTCCTCCTCCTCCTCCTCCTCCTCCTCCTCCGCTCCCCTCGTGGGCGGGAAGCCTCTCCGTGCCCACGGCCCCGCGGGCCGGGCCCCGCGGAGCGCGGCGCGTGCCTCTGCGCGGGTGCCCCGCGCGGGAAAAAACGCACCCCGTGCGGCTGCGCAGCTGCGGGGTGGCGCCTCGGAGCCCAGGCCGCGAGGCCACGGGTCCGGACGCGGCGGCCGCCCCCCAGACGTGCGACGTCCTGACCTTTTTTAGTGCGGCACTCCCGGAAGGCCTGGCCCTGTCCCCGGGGCCGGCCTCTTCGCCCTGCGATCGTTTCTTCCACGGCCCCCGGGGCACGGCGAGGGCCTCCAGGGAGGCCGGAAGCGGCGAAGACCCTCCGCCCTGATTTTGATGCACGTCGCGAGCACGCCTGGGTCGTGCTCCCCGCCCCCTTGCCCCCCCCCCCCCCCGCCATCCCGAGGCGCCGCGCCGCACGGCGCTGCCCTCGCGGAGGCGCCGCTGGCCGTCCCCGCGCGGGCGGGATGGGGAGCAGCGTGTGCTGCGACGTGCCGCACGAGCTGGGCCGCGAGGAGGGCACGCCGAGGTACGAGGCCCGCCCGGGCGGGGCGGCAGCGGCGCGCCCCGGGGGCCCGCCTGCAGAGATCACGACGGGCCCCACGAAACAGTCGAGTCAAGGCACGAGCAGGGCTCAGGCGATGGCAAGCACGGATCAAAAGGGGACGTGGATTCGCGGCGGGTCTCGTTGCCATGGGGGATCGCGAGTTTCCGCCGCCGAGCGAGGCGGCACCGGCCGCAGTTTGGGGAGGGCGCCTCCCCCGATCCATGGATTTGGCGACTGCGCGCCAAATCCATGGATCGTTAATCCAATGTTTGCGCTCCCCTTCATTGGTTTTGCAGTGCTCGGTGGCCAGAATTCAGAATGTCGTGTTCCGTGTTCTGGGTGCCACCGCAGTCGGCGGTGAGCCCGGGAGGGGGGAGTGAGAAGGGGCGGGCCTTCTCATGAGGGTTCGGCAAGTCCCACAGCTGGAGGATATCTCCGAAGGGCTTAGGCGACCCGTCCTCCTCCTCCTCCTTCTCCTCCTCCTCCTCCTCCTCCTCCTCATCCTCCTCATCCTCCTCCTCCTCCTGCTCCTCCTCCTCCATCTCCTCCTCCCCCTCCCCCTCTACCTCCTCCTCCACCTCCTTCGCCTCCTCCTCCTCCTCCTGCTCCTCCTCCTCGGGTCGCCTACGGCCCCGGGGAAAACCGTACACCCCCAGCTTTTGAGAAGTTCTCCGAGCCTTCCCCGAAGGCACAGACAACTGCTCAGAAGGTGCGAGGGCTTCTGAGGAGTCTGGGCGCCTTCTGAGACGGCTTTCTCCTTCTCACTTCTCTCCCGTCGCTCGCCGCCGAACCAAACAACACCCCGTGATGAAGGGCGGATCTCTGGGAAGGGGTCGAGAGCTACACGTGTTGATGCTGCGTAAAGAAGGCATCAACCAAAAAAACGATCTCGGTCTTGGCGCCTCAGATATTCCCACTGGTCGTTGAAAGTAGGTATTTTGGAATTCCCAGATTCCAATCTATGTTATGCGCCTTCCTACTTCAATGATCCATTTTGTTAACCTGTTCCCTCTTTCGTGGGGCGGGCAAGAACCCAATCTTACTACTTTCGTCGCGTTCCCACTTCATGTTTCTGCCTACCTCTTCCGACTGATGGGTGTCATGGTTCGGGAAATCCCGCGTCAAGATGGGGCCGATAGCTTGGCGGTTGACATCGGAAGGGTTTCCTGGTTTTCGGGAATTTTAGGTGTTTCCGGGGGCGGGGGGGTGGTTCCAAAGGTATCCGGTGGGTGTTCGAATCTTTCCGGGGAAATCCTTCAGGGCGACTTCACTCAGGGCGCTCCGAGAACGGCCTCGCGTTCGAGGAACTGACGAGTTGGCATCTCGGGCGGAAGGTTCGGCAGATCTTCTGACAAGGGTGGTCTTTCGCACGGGCGCCCGCCAGGCTGTTCGACGCCGATGCCGTGAGAGCTCACAGAGATTCATCGAGCGCGTTCCACTACTCGCAAAGTGCCTCCTCGCAAACGTTTGAGAAACCAATGTCCGCCTCGATACAATCGATCGTAGAACCCCCGCGGCGAATCCAGGCCATTTGCGAGTATATACTTCGCGAGCAGTGGAACGCGCTTGTCTAGAGATGGCCCGTCATGCACGTGCGGCCGATCAGGATCGGCCCGACCAAGGTCGGTGCAGGCAGGTGGTTGGCGCCCTCCCAGGCCTGGGACTGCAGCCAGCCCGTCAACAAAGTCCAGCTCGCTGCCACCGAGCTCTTCTCGGCGGCGAGCCCGTGGGGGAAGTGACCAGAATTACCTACCCCGCTTTCGCTTCCAGGCAAAACCAAGTCATACCACGCGCCTCCTCGTCAAGCGGCCTGACCAGTACAGGCCGTACTTTGGCATCGTTTGGTATCTCTTGGAAGCGAGGGTGGTCAAAAGCGAGGTAGGTTTGCTTTCCCCCTGGAGGCTTGGCAGTTCTCCCCCGGGCTTCCGAGAAGTTCTCCAGGCCTTCCCCGAAGGCGCAGAGAGCCTCTCAGAAGGCCCGGGGGGGCTTCTGAGAAGCCCCGCCGCCTTCTGAGCAGGCCTCCTCCCTCTCGCTTCCCCCCCTCGCTCGCCGCCGATCTTCGCCCTCCCCGGGATCGGGACGGCCTACCACACCTCGGTGCTCGTCAACGACGAGGATCGGGTTGACCCAAAGGGGGCCAGCGACAACGGGGTTGTGCAATAGATTTGGTGCAATAGATTTGTGATTTGTGGAGTTGGAATTCATTCGGGGCGTGCAATACACTCTGGGGCGCCAATGTATTGCTGGACGTCCGCGCGCAATCCATCACTTGCAGATACACTGCAACACGATTCTCCAGCGCAGCACGTGTGTGCATTACAAGTGCCCCAGATCCAGAGCACCACCCCCCTCCAGCTGGACCCCCTCTTTCAGAAGGAAAAGAAACACACAGACACACATTAATCTTCGATTCCCCCGAAAATATGGGAAAATATGGGAAGTGGGGGGGAAGACAGAAACCCAGAAAATATAGGAACATATGGGGAACCTTTTTATTGGTGTGTATCTATTGGTGTGTGTCCTGGGGCCCCGTCACTCTTGGGGGGCCACCCGGAGAGGAGTTCTTCTTCTCGGACGGCGGCATCTTCTCCGACCGCGCGCTGACGAGCCACCAGGGCTGCCCCACGGAGCCCCTGGTGGACCTCGGCGCCTCGGCGCGCACGGGCTACCAGCTGCTGTGCGCGATGCAGCCCCACTTCGCGGAAGGCTCACGTCGGGAATGTCCCTCTGCAGCAGGAATACCCAAACACAGTCAAAAAAAAAATTGTATGGGGACGATTTTCTATTATCTCTGACTACTCAGGGGGGCATTTTCTGGCTATGTTTTATATGTCTTCCAAAATCCGCCTGTAGGGGGACATGCCAGACAACGGAAGGCAGCTACGACCTGCTGCGCAAGAACTGCAACTCGTTCTCGGACTGCGCCATCCACTTTCTGCTCGGGAGGCGCCTGGACCGTCGCTACACCGCGCTCGAGCGCATCGGCGTGCGGGCGGGCCCAGACATGATCGAGAAGGTCTTGAAGGGCATGTACCGGCCGAACGAGAACGCGGATGGCTTCTCGTTGCCAGGCGTGATCTCGGCCGTGGAGAAGGTGAACATCGCCGACCTGGGCTTCCAGCACGGAGGGAAGCCTTCGCTGGTAGCGGGCGCCGGCGTCACGCTGGTGGGCCTGACGAGCGCCCGCCACCTCAACGGCATGGGAGCGACCATCGTGCGCTTCAACCCCGTGAACAGCCGCTGGCTGGCTCTCGGGCGTTGCGTAAGGGGGCGTAGGACGCAGCATAGAGCGGCGAAGCATCCGAGAACGCGACGACGACTATATAATACTGGGAGGGGGTGATGACACGCCAGCCCTCAGAGAAAACCGAGCAGATTATGGATTAGACTGGACGAGCCTGATCCCAGTTGCGTAAGGGGGGGGCGAGAGACGCGGGGATGATGAGCACCTTTTGCGCATTTCCGGGGCCCTGAAGGGGTCCCCCCTGGGGCCCAAAAAGGGGCACGAAAAAGGTGCACGCTTCTTCGCCCCCCGCTCTATCTCGGGGAACCAGGGCTTCGAACTCGCTGGAACTCGGGCTCGCCGACGCTCTTCGACGAGCCCGCCCCGGATGCTGAAGGTCCCGTCTCCGTGGGACGCTTGCTGCGGGAGCTCGCGCCAGACGTCCGAGTGGCTCTCGCCATTCTCCTGACGGCCCCGTCGGGCCCACCAGAGCCCCCCGAATCCCGAGTCTTGCGCCTCCCCGACTGCCGCCCCCCGTGCCTGGCATCGCTCGGACGTGTGCATTTGTTTCTCGGCGAGAACCATTGAGGACGATCCTGGACCATCGAGCAAAAAAGACACGCACGAAACCGAAAAATGCACGGGAAATGGACATCCGAGCGATGGCGATCGTGGAGCAGCGCCCAAGGCTCGGCTGCACACCTCCGGGGAGGTCAAGGCCTTCCGCTCGGAGAACCTGCGGCCCGCGGGGGAGCTGGTGCTGGAGGTGGGCGACCTCGCCCGGATACGCGGGCTCGCCTCGGAGCTGGGCAGGGCGCTCAATGGCCGCGAGGGCGAGGTGCTCCGGTACCCCGGGCTTCCCAGATGGGGTCCGAGCAGATGGGGTCGGAGGTGGACAGAACCCCCAACAGTGACACGTCGATTCGTGAATTGTCCGTTTTCGGTTCTCGACGGGGCGCCGCGGCCGTCATTTTCCAGGCTTGCGCCCGCCAGGTTTGGGCCTCAGGTCGTTTTCCCTAAACCACGTTTTACTAAAGGGGGGTCTGTCCATCCCCGAATGGGGTCGGTGGATCGAGCCGCATCGCCGATGCTTCGGCGACGCGGCTCGATGCGGAGCCCGATTTTCGCCACGCCAGCGGCGGCGATGCATCGCCGACGCATCGCCGGTGCATCGCCGATGCATCGCCAGTGCATAGGCGATGCGGCGCGCTCCTCCGACCCAATCTGCTCGGGCCCGATTTGGGAGGCCTCTAGGTACGTCCACGAGTCCTCCAGGTACCGCCTCCAGGTGGGCGACGAGGTCCGCGACCTGCTCGCGGAGAACCTCGAGCCCCTGCGCCTCGGCAGCGACGCCAACTCGCTGCCCTCGCAGGACATGCTGCTGTGACCCTGTGCAGCCCCGGCTCGCGCGCGCTGCGGCCGCGCGCCCACCCTCCGTCGGTGGCAGGATTCCAAACCCTACCCTCATTCAGGCAACTCGATGTGCGGCGGGGGGTATGCTTCGGAAGTCATCGAACGCGTGGCGAAATCCGAAACGGCTCCGCAGAATCGAGGGCTGGTGGGGCGGTAAGGGTGCGTGTGTCGCCACCTATAGCCCCGATCAGAACGGCAGCGCAATACCCTCGTCCACAGTCGTCATCGTCGCCGCCGAAGCCATCGTCGTCGTCGTCGGCGGCGGCGGCGGCGTCGTCTCCGTCGACGACCAGCTGCCAGCACTCGGCTCTGGCCTCCTGCTCCCGCCCCTGCCGCTCGGGCCCCCGGCGAACAATGGCGGCGGGAGCCTGCCCAGGCCCTCCGGGAGGCTCGAGGCGGGCCCCATGACGCCTGCCGTCCGCGGCACCCCCACCTGGAGGAGGAGGAGGAGGAGGAGGAGGAGGAGGAGGAGGAGGAGGAGGAGGAGGAGGAGGAGGAGGAGGTGGAGGAGGAGGAGGAGGACTCTGTTTTCCCCTGCGGCCCTCCCTTCTCAGCCGCCGCAGCACCCTGGGGCCTTCCGAGGCCCCCCCCGCCCCGCCCCGGGAGGCTCGAGGCGGGCCCCGTCGTCCACCGCACCCCCACCCCTGCCTCCACTGCGGCCCGTTTCGAGCCGATCGATCCGATTCGGTCTCGTTTCCGGCCAGTTCGATCCGATGAGGCCCGACGCTTGCACGGCTCTGTTCTGCATTTTGTTGCAGCCGATCCGCCTCACACTAGATTTCGACTTCGTGCCAATGCGGCCCGATGCGAGGCACACTCCGATTCGGCACGCTTTCCCGAGTAGACGCAGACCGATCCTGCCCCCTCGTCCGCGGCCCCTCCATTTACGCCGCCACCCCTTACCCAACGCAGGCGCTCGCCGACTGCCCCACGGCACCTCCGGCCGGGTCGCACCAGACCGATCACGCCAGCGCGGGGCTCCCCGAAGCGGGGAGCGCAACGCGCCGCGCCGGGGATCGCTGGCTGGGCCAATGCAACGCAAAGAAAAGTGTTGGCGCTCTGCGCGTCCCCGCAGAGCGCACCCGTGCACCACCGCCACCACCGCCACCATCCCTGACCGTTGCCAGAGGACGGTGCACAGACCGTCGCTTGTCGGGGCCAATAGGCTGCATGCGTTCAAGAACTTGGGGGGTCCGCGGGCCGCGCCGCCGGTTCTGGCCCTCCCGCGCCGCGGCGCGGCACGCCATCCGCTTCCTTACCAGCCTGGAACGTATCCCTATTCCTATGCTGGGCACCTCCTCATCACGATGCCAATCTTAGGGATTCCCTTCTTTTTTGAGGGCGCATCCCTAAGATTGTCATCGCCTTTTGGCGTGTCAATCGTAGGGATAGGGATACGTTCGAGGCTGGTAACTTCCGGGTCCCCGAGCGGCAACGCCCCGAGCCCATCCCGATCTCCCGCCCCGCGGGGCGGAGCGACACGCCGTGCGCTCGCAGAGCACACCGTGTGGCCGGGGCTGCCGCCGCGGCACGCGAAGCGACAGTTCCTGACCGTATGCACCACCGCCATCCCTGGCCAGTGATGAGTCGGGCATGGCCTTCTGCAGGGAGAACACTCAAAAACAGTCATGGATTAGTCTGGATACGATCTGTTCTAACAGTTTGTTATTATGTTTGAGCGTTTTGGGCCCGTCTTTCATTTGTCATCCAAAATCCGCCTGTAGGAAGACATGCCCCACCTAATCAAGGCCAATGCCACCTTGGGTCCCAGGATCGGGCCAGACGAAAGGGGGGGAGCGGGAAAGGGGACGTTACGAAATCTGCTGCATGCAGCTGGTCTCTGCCCCGCCGCCGGGCACATTCCTCGATACATGGGCCCATTCCTCGATACATGGGCGCCTCCCAGCGCCAGGAGAACCAGCTCTCTACCCTACCCCCTGCCCTTGGCTGTCCTACCCGCTCGTCCTCCCCGACAGGAAGGTGCACAGACCTTTTTTGCCGAAGCAGGGGTGCTAGATATTAGATATTATCTCAGGACCCAGGACGGCCACGGCCAGAAGTGAGGCTCCTCTGGTGCGCATCTTGGCATCGCTCGGACGTGTGCATTTTTCCTTCGGCGAAACGAGGAGCGTCCTTGATCATCTGGCGAGGAGACCACGCACGAAGCCAAAAAAGCACAGGGAATGGACGTCCGAGCCATGGCGAGGCACTGACCCGAGGAGGCCGCCTGGGGCTCTGGATGGAGGAGACCACCTGGGGCTCTGGATAGAGGCTCTGGATGGGCAGGGGGTGCTGGATATCATCTCGGGACCCCCAGGACGGCCACGGCCCGGAAGTGAGGCTCCTCTGGTGCGCACTGACCCGAGGACACCGCCCGGGGGCTCCGGATGGGCTCTGGTCTTCCTCGGGGCCGCTCCGCAGGTGCAGGGCCCGGAGCCTGCACGTGGCCGAGGCTCGCCGCGGCCCGAGAGGCCCCTTTCAGAACACACAGACACGATAATTCGTCGACTCCCAGAAAATATGCGAAGATGTGGGAAGTGGGGGGGAAGACAGAAACCCAGAAAGTAGGGGAAAGTAGGGGGGATCTTTTTATTTGTGTGTGTCTATTTGTGTGTCCCAGGGCCCCTTCGTTGCTTGCCGGAGACGCCGACGGCGAATCACCGCCGCCCCCCGCCTTTGGGAGTCGCCCACGTTGCCGAGCGTCGTGGCCAGAGCTCTGCCAAGCTGTCGGACCATGTGCTCCCCCAGCCGCTGTGGAAACCCTTCGGGGAGCACGCGTGGGAGAAAGAAGAAGCGGAGGAGAGGGAGGAAACATAGAGAGGAGGATGAAGAGGAGGAGGAGGAGGAGGAGGAGGAGGAGGAATAGGAGAAGGCGGAGGAGGAGGAGGAGGAGGAGGACACTTGGGGCCTCCTGGGAGCTTACTGCGGGCCTTTCGGAGGCTTTTGGGAGGCCTTTTGGAAGGCTCCTTGGGCCTCTTGGGGACGCTTGGGGGCTTCTTGGGGGCCTCTTGGGCCGTCTTAGGCCGTTCCTGGCCCGTCTGAAGCTGTCGGAAGCCGTCTTGGATGCCTCTCTGGGCCGACTCGGGGCCCTCCTGGCGCGCGCGATCTTGCGGACTCTTACGAAATCGGTGTGCTTCCAACATGCTCATGCAGCGCGAACAAGCGGGCCCGTCGCGCGCGCAGGTCGAAATCATTCGAACACCCTTGCGCGCCTGCCTGGGGGCGGGCACGACTCCTGTCAACTAACACCATGCGGGCCACTCGGGCCCGCCGGCCGCGCCCGCGTGCCGAAGTCCTTCCGGAACCGATCATCACCGACGCGTGTCGGGGGCCCCCAAGCGGGGCGGTGACCACGCCGTGCGGCGAGTCGGTGGGGAGTCGGGGTCACCGCACGGTTTTGGGACTCGGGTCGTTCTCCGAGGACGTCTCGGACGACAGGGGCCTCCAGGGTCCCAGAACCGTGCGGTGACGGACCGTGCGGTGAGGTCTTGGGGGATGTCGAGGTCACCGCACGGTGTGTCACCGCACCGTTGCGGGACTCCAAAACGTGGACACCATCATTTTCATTGGCGCGATCATCATCGGCGCCGTCATTAGTTTTGGCGTCGCCATCGTCACCAACATGGCTACTATCATAATCATGTCTGCCGTTGTCGACGTCGCCATGATACTGCGCCCACCCGAATCACAGACTCGCACTGTCAGCGCGGCCAGCGAAACGCGGTGGGAAGTCACAAGCGGTCAACGCCACCGCGGCCGCGTCGGTCGCGCCAGAGTAGCTCTCCGCTCTGCGCGAGAGCCTGCGCGCGCCAGCGCGGCCGCAACGATGCGCAAGCCAGCGTTATCGCATTCGCCGCCGCATGGGTTTTTCAAACCGATTTGCGGGTGGGTGGGTGGGACGCTTGCGCGAGCAGTGAAGTTGACAACGCATTAGTGAGCATAAGTTCGGCGCGCCACTTAGATTGATGACGAGGGGACTGGGAACGGGAGGGTGATCTCAAGCATAGTCTATGCATCTTGGGCGTACTCTGGTTCCTCCTCCTCTTTCTGCTCCTCCCCCTCCTCCTCCTCTTCATCCTCCTCCTCCTCCTCCTCCTTCTCCTCCTCCTCCTCCTCCTCCTCCTCCTCCTCCTCCTCCTCCTCCTCCTCTCCCTCCTGCTTCTACCTACTCCCAGCCCTCCCTCGTTCCCTCCTTCCGCCCTTCCCTCCCTCCCTCATCGTCCCCCCTTCCCTCCGTCCCTCATCCTCTCTCCTCCTTTCCTGTCTTCTCTCCCTTCCCCCACCCCACCGCGAGGGCTCCTGGCCGTGAGCCCCGCCGATCGCACGACGGTCGGCGAGTCCTGCTTCGAGCCCGAGGAGTGTGCCCCCCCCGCCTCCGCCCCGCTCGCCTCACCTTCGCCGCCGCCAGTTAAGACGCTGTAAGAAAATATCCAGCGAGAACCGACGACGACGACGACGACGACGCGACGACGACGACGACGACGACGACGACGACGACGACGACGACGGGGACGACGCCGCTGTGAGAAATGTCTTTTCACAACCATCCTGTGGTCGTGGGTCCCCTTTTTTGAAGAGAGCGCCCCGCGTTTCTCCTCTCCTCTTCTCCTCCTCCTCCTCCCCCTCCTCCCTCCCTCCTCCCGCTGCCTCCATTTTCGCGCACTACTCACACGCTTCGTGGCCCCATCGAGAGCCCACCGAAGGCCCTGTTGGCAGGGTCCGCGTGCAGTTCCACCTCCATTTCGGCGCACCCCTCGCACGTTTCGGGGCTCCACGGGGTGCTCCACCGAAGGCCCCAGTGGCAGTGTACGCATGCAGTTCCACCCAAATTTCGGCGCACCCCTCGTAAATTTCGTGGCCCCATAGGGTGCTCCACCGAAGGCCCCAGTGGCAGGGTCCGCATGCACTTTCGCTCCGATTTCGGTGCACCCCTCAAACGTCTCGTGGCCACATAAGGTGCTTCGCCGAAGGCCCCAGTGGCAGGGCCTGCGAGCAGTTCCACCTCCATGTCAGCGCACCCCTCACACGTTTCGCGGCCCAATGGGGTGCTCCACCGAAGGCCCCAGTGGAAGGGTCCCCATGAAGTTCCACCCCCATTTCGGCGCACCCCTCACACGTTTCGCGGCCCCACAGGGTGCTCCACCGAAGGACCCAATGGCAGGGTCCGCATGCAGTTCCACCCCCATTTCGGCGCACCCCTCACACGTTTCGCGGCCCTATGCGGTGTACCGCTGAATGCCCCAGTGGCAGGGTCTGCATGCAGTTTCACCTCCATTTCGGCGCACCCCTCACACGTTTCGTGGCCCCACAGGGTGCTACACCCAAGGACCCAGTGACAGGGTCTGCATGCAGTTTCACTTACATTTCGGCGCACCCCTTATACGTTTCGCGGCCCAATGGGGTGCTCCACCCAAGGCCCCAGTGGCAGGGTCCGCATGCAGTTCCACGTCCATTTCGGCGCACCCCTCACACGTTTCGTGGCCCCACAGGGTGCTACACCCAAGGACCCAGTGACAGGGTCCGCATGCAGTTACACCAACATTTCGACGCACCCCTCATACGTTTCGTGGCCATAGTCTGGTCCACCGAAGGCCCCAGTGGCAGGGTCCGCATGCAGTTCTACTCCATGTCGGCGCACCTCTCGCATGTTTCGCGGCCCCACAGGGTGCTCCACCAAAGGCCCCAGTGGCAGCGCCCGCACGCGGTTCCACCCTGCCTTTCGGCGCACCTCTCACACGTTTCGTGGCCTCACGTGGGGCTCCACCGACGGCTCCGGTGGCAGCGTCCGAGCGTCCGCATGGCGTACCCGTCCCAATTTTGGCACACCAGTCACACGCGTCGTGGCCCCAGAGAGAGGTTCACCGAGGACGATACCCACAATTGCGTTACCCACAACTGCACGTGTTTGGGTCCTTCGCCAGGATTATGTCCTTGGGACTCCTTCAGCTCCACATGAGGGTGACGCCAACGGGGGGTGCGGAAGTTGAGCGCGCCGCCAGGTCTGACTGAGAGAAGTAGAGACGAATGGAGAGAAATTGAGAAAGCCCGAAACACTTGGAGATAACATGAGAGACACATGGAGTTATAATTCTCGAGCCATGACGGCAGCTTGGTAATGCTTGGAAGTGGCGGCCGGTCGCCCCCCCATCTCCGTCACCCCCACGTGGAGCTGCATAGGCCCCTTCCAGAACTGCTGGAGAGCAGCAGTCCAGTCGCCGTGCCAAACTGCTGGGCCCAGGGCGCGGTAAGCGGTCCCCTGATCCGAAATGCATACTGCTGGACATGAGGAGGAGGAGGAGGAGGAGGAGGAGGAGGAGGAGGAGGAGGAGGAGGAAGAGGAGGAGATGGAGGAGGAGGAGGAGGAGGAGGAGGAGGAGGAGGAGGAGGAGGGGGGTTCGGAAAGCCAGTCGCACGGATGCCTTTACACGCGGGGCAGCCGCGAGAAAACGCCCCGCATCTGCCCAGGCGCCCAGCCTGGGTGCCCGGTCCGCGAGGCCGCGCATACAAATATGTGTTCCAGCCATCAGTCCGAACCGTTTCGGGTTCTGGCTGTTGGGCCGCTCCTTCTTGATCCATGTCGTGGAGCCTCCGTCGTGGCCGAGGCTCGCCGTGGCCAGAAAGGCCACTAAGGGGGAGCGACACCAGCACCACCAGGGGAGCCACCTCCAGCGAGGAGGTCCACGATGCCTCCCCGAGCTGGGGATGTCGGGATGTCTCAAGCGAGAAGGGGGGACCACACCACCAGGGGTACCATCCCTGGCTCATCGCGCTGGTGGTCCCTGGTGGTGTTGGTACCGCTTTGCTCCTTGTTCGGCGTCAAACACCCTTGCGACACTGCGGGGCGTGTCAAGAGATGCCTTTACAAACCCCTTGCAACAAATCTTATGCTGGCGCACATGCGGGCGCCGCCGGGTGCGCATGTCAGAATCACCCAACAACAGTGAGTGTTCTAATCATTTCAAGGCATGTCTGTTCAACCACCACCAAATATTGATATTCACATGCTGAACAAACCGTTTACAGCTTTCTCCGCGCGCATTCGAAGTCATCGGGAAGTACTCGCCGTTTTGCCGCTCTGTCAAAGGAGGGCATGCGGGCGACACGCGCCCGCGCGCATCTCGGAATGGGTCAACAACCATGGAGGGCTGCAAATTCTCCGCGCACGCACGTCGAAATGATTCGAAAGCCATTGGTTTGCCAAGTGTGTCAACATGAGGGGTTCGCTGACATGCGAGCATCCAGTAGCTTTCGCTCAAACAGCGTCAGATGCTCTGAGTTTCTGCGAGCGCGCATTTCCGCATCATCCTCATATGCACAACCGTCATCGTCAATTCCAGCGTTACCATTGCGCTCGCCATCGCGATCGTCATCACCATCGTCGTTGTCAGCAGCACCACCGCCATCGCGAATATCGTCTTCCAAGTCAAATTTGACCGCGCGCACGTTTCATCATCCTCACCAGCACCACCGCCATCAACATGGCCAACGTCAGCATCGTCACTGTGTCGTTGTCATCACCATTACCATCGTCGATGTCGCCACCGTCCCCGACGTCGTCATTAAGATCATTACATCATCGTCGCTGCCCCCGCCCATTCAAGTTTAGCCAGCAAGATGCGCGTGGGTGGGGCGTTTGCACGAGCATTCGAGGTGGTCACGCGCGATTGCGGTCAACATTTCTTGCGTCACATACTGCACCCCATAGCTTGAACCACATAGTTGGCAAGACATGGTTTGCACCACAAATGTCCCATATTCAGAATGCATAAACCTTCGTTCGGGGTCCTCGCTGGCCCCCTCCCCTCCCTCCTCCCAGCTCCCTCCCGCCTCCCCCCTCCCACCCACCCCTCTTCCTTCCCTTCCCTTCGCTCTCTCTCTCTCTCGCCCTCTGCCCTCCTCATCCGAATCATCATCTTCATCCTCAACCTCATCACCATATTCATCAACAACGTTACTCCAATCGTTTTCACATGGTAGCTGTCATCGTATTTCCCATTATCACCCTCATCATCACCATGATGAGTATCAGCATCGTCATTCTCGTCGTCGTCGGTGTTCATTGAGAGGCCTCCCGGTACACAGCGAAGACTAAGCGACGGAGACAACAGCGGCGACAACGGTGACGGTGGCGGCAGCGACGCTCCACCCCCCCCCCCCCCTGCAAGGATCGGGCCTCGGCCCTCGCGTCGACCTGGCTGCACGGCACCGGGGAGAGGGAGGAGCGGGAGGCTTGCCAGGCGCAGCCGAGAGTCGGGTCGTCGTCGCCGCCCTCGTCGTCCATGTCGTCCTCCTCGTCGTCGTCGTTGTCGCCATCCTCGTCGTCCTCGTCGTCGTCGCGGTCATGTTTTGCTGATAGTGGGACCCTACCACGCTCCTCTCCAGACTCGGCCTGCTCAGAAAGATCTGGTGATCGAAGCCGGAGCATTTCTGTTTATTAGGGCAGGCGGCATCGACATTTGCTTCTGCAGTGAACTGAACTGAAGGAGGCGGCGAAGGGTTGCAGGAGCAAGGAGTTTACAGAGGGGGAGGGGGAGGAGGAGCGGAGGACGATCAGAAGGATGGGAGGAGGAAGAGGAACGGGGAAGGATGGTAACGAGTGGGATAAATCATGATAAGTCGGCCGCACAACGAATACACATGTGCGTCAGCCAGCATGGGCCCCAACCAGTAGGCTCTTGCAGTCTACGCGGTGCAATCTATGTGGTGCAGTGTATGCGATGCCACCTATGTAATGCGACCTGCGCGGTGCAATACATGCGGTGCAAGCTATGTGGTGCAATCTGCGCGGTGCAACCTATGTTAAGCAATCTATGCGGTGCCATATGTGTGGTGCGATCAATCACTCGCTCAACTTGAAGCTGTCCTCTCCACTGCTCGCGCCAACATCCCACCCTCCCACCCGCAAGTTGGTCGCCGACAACGTCTCCAACTACTTCGACGACGACGACAACGACGACGCCGACGCCGACAACGACAATGACGACGACGACGACGAAGATGACGACGACGACGACGACGTCGCCAACGAAGACGACGACGACGACGAGGGAGGAGGGAGGACGACGACGGCGACAACGACGACAACGACGAGGGAGGAGGGAGGACGGCGACGGCGCGAACGACGAAGAAGGAGGGAGGACGGCGACGCCGACGTCGACAACGACGGGAGGAGGGAAGACGACGACGACGACGACGACGGCGACGAAATAGGAGGGACAACGACGAAACGCCCAAGACAACGAGGGAGGAAGGACGCACACGGCGACAACGACGACGGAAACAACGACGACGTCAAGATTACGACGACGACGAGGAAAGACAGAGGACGACGACGGCAACGACGACGACGACGACGACGACGACGAGGGAGGATGGAGGATGGCGACGACAACGACGACGACGCAAAAGCGCGCGCGCACGCTTTTGTTGAAAATCCGTGTTGCGAAATCCTGTGATTTTGTGTGTGTGGTTTGGACATTCGATTTTGAAACTTTTCCGAAACCGAAGATTTTCAAGGATATCGGCGTGCGCGCGCGACGACGCGCGCGTGCGCACTTCGCCCCATGTTTTGCAGAGGGCTCTCGCGATGGCACGCGCGCAAGGGCGTTCGAATGGGGTCGACACGCGCGCGCGAAGCTCGATTTTTGGAAATGTTGAAAAATATATTGTGAGCGCGCGCGTCAGCTTTTTTTCGAACATTCGTGTTGCGAAGCCTATGTTCCTGTAGTTCTTTGGGGGAATTCGATTTTGAAATCCTTACGACACCGAAAGCTTTCGAAGGATTTCGGCATGCGCGCGCGACGACTCGCGCGCGCGCACTTCGCCCCATTCGTTGCAAAGGATTATTGGCAAGTTCTGGTTTTTGACAAACGAGTGCGCGCGCATAGTACTTGTTGCAGAGGATGACGGGGGGAACCGATACCTGTTTGGCTGGAATCGCATGAATTTACAGGTCGGTTGGACATTGGGGCAGAATCCCATTTGTTTTACATAGATGCACTGGGGGGTCTTAAGTCCGGGGGGGAAGGGTGGTAGAACCGATTTTCTTTTTAGAAGGGCGAATATACGCGGTTCAACCTGTGTACGGCAACCTACGCGGTGCAATTCATTTGACGAACTTGAAGTTGTCAACTCCAGTGCTCGCGCAACCATCCCGCCCACCCACCCGCAATATGGTTTGCAAAGCCCATGTGGAAGCGATTGCGATTAGGGCTTGGTGTTGGCTGGTGCATCTGCGCGGCCGCGCTAGCCCGCGCATGCTCGCGCGCGCAACGGCCAGCTAGTTTGGCGCGGCCGACGCGAAAGCGGTGGCGTTGACCGCTCGGCACGTCCCAGCGGACATTTCACTGCGAGTCGGCGACTGGGGCGGGGGCGCGGTATCATGGCAACGTCGACAACAGTGGACACGAAGATGATAGGAGCGATGCTGGTGACGATGCTGACAGCGACGACGGGGCAGCCGGTGACGGCGCCGATGTTGATCACGCCGACGACGATGACGGCGTCTTCGCGTCGGTGATGAAGGTTTTGGAAGGAGTTCGAAATGCGCGCGCGGCAGACGCGCGAGAGTAGCCCGCATGGTATGATTTGACACGGATCGTGCTACCCCAGCGCGCGCAAGGGCGTTCGAACGATATCGACACGCCCGCGCGCGAAGCCCGTTTGGTAGCATGTTTTCAAAAAGTTTTGAAATACAAACTTATGGCTTTCTTGAGCATCGCAAGATCGCTCGCGCAAGTTTGTTTTGAAAGTCCGCGTTGCGAAACTTTACTGTATGTTTGTATTTGTGTTTTGGACACTGAATTTTGAAATCCTTACGGGACCAAGAATTGTCAAATGATTTCGGCATGCGCGCGCGACGACGCGCGCGTATGCACTTCGTCACAGATGCTTGCAAGGGAATCTCGGAAACTTTTGAATTTGTGATAAACGAATGCACGCACATAGCATGTTTTTGCGGAGGATGGCGGGGTGGGGTCAATTCCAGCTCGGTTGGCATGGTACGGGTTCATATTTGGGATGGACGATGGGGCAGAAGCATATGCACATTGCAGAACGAAAATGGGAGTCGATGGGCCCGGGAGGGGGGGCAGAGTCCATTTTTCTGTTTGTAGGAAGGAGAATTTATGTGGTACAATTAACTTCTGTTCGCAGTGAGTTGTCCTCTCCATTGCCCGCGCAAACATCCCACCCACCCACCCGCAAATTGGTTCGCAAAATCTTTTACGACCGTGACGGTGGGTACCACATGGCACTTGGCAACAGCAGCGACGCCGACGACGACAGCGACAACGACGATGACGACGCCGCCGACAACGACTACGACGACACCGACGACGTTTCCAACGACTTCGACGACGCCGACAACGACGACGACGACGACGACGACGACGACGACGACGACGACACCGACGACGACGACCACGACAACGACACCGACGCCGACGACGACGACGATGACAACGACGACGACGATGACGACGCCGACGACGACGATAACGACGACACCGACGACGACGACGTCAACGACGCCGACGACGTCGACGACGACGACGACGACGGCGGCGACGACGACGACGCCGACGTCGACGACGACGAAGAACACAACCCTAACGACGACGAAGACGACGACGACGTCGCCAACGAAGACAACGAGGAAGGAGGGAGGACGACGACGGCGACAACGACGACAACGGCGAGGGAGGAGGGAGGACGGCGACGAAGCGAACGACGAAGAAGGAGGAAGGACGGCGACGCCGACGACGGCAACGACGAGGAAGGAGGGAAGACGACGACGACGACGACAACGACGACGACAACGACGACGACGACGGCGACGAAATAGTAGGAACGACGACTAGACGCCGACGACGGACGACGACGACGACGAGGGAGGAGGAGGAAGGACGACCACGGCGACAACTACGACGGAAACGACCACGACGCCAAAGAGGACGACGACGACGAACACGAGGAAAGACAGAGGACGACGACGGCAACGACGACGACGACGACGACGACGCGGGAGGAGGGAGGACGGCGACGACGACGACGACGACGCACGAGCGCGCGCGCACGCTTCTGTTGAAAATCCGTGTTGCGAAACCGTGTTTTTGTAGGTTGTTTGGACGCACGATGTTGAAATCCTTCCGAAACCGATGGGTTTTGAAGGTTTTCGGCATACGCGCGCGACGACGCGCGCGTCTGCTTTTCGTCCCGTTTTTTGCAGGGGATTCTCGCGACGGCACACGCGCAAGGGCGTTCGACAGATTTCGACATGAGCGCGCGCGAAGCCCGTTTGGTAGCATGTTGTGAATATCTTGAAAAACCTATGTTTTTCTTAAGATTTCGCAAGAGCTTTCGCGGAAGTTGGTTTAGCAACTCTGTGTTGCGAAACCCTGTGTTTTGGTATGTTTCTTGGGAAACTCGATTGCGAAATCCTTCCGGCACCGAAGGATTTTGAAGGATTCCGGCATGCGCGCGCGACGACGCGCGCGTGCGCTCTTCGTCCAATTTCTGTTGCAAGGGACTCGCGAAAAAAAGTGTTGTGTTAGAACAAAATGTCACCGCATAAGTGTTTTTTAGGGAACCTCAGGGGGGGAACCCGGTTTGGCTGGGATGGTACGGTTTTCATATGTATGATGGACGAGTGTGTACAATATAGATATGAAATCATATTATCCCACGGGGGAGCCGATCAGTCCGGGGGGGAGGGAGAATCTATTTATTTTTTTGGAAAGGAGAATTCAATTTGACCGTCTTGAAGCTGTCCTCCCCACTGCTCGTGCAAACATCCCACCCTCCCACCCGCAACTTGGTCGCAAGACCTCTTAAAACAAGACCGTGACGGTAGGTACCACATGGCACTTGGCCACGACACCGACGCCGACGACGACGACGACGACGACGACGACGACGGCGCCGCCGACACCGACTACGACGACACCGACGACGTTTCCGACGACTTCGACGACGACAACGACGACGACGACGACGACGACACCGACGACGACGACGACGCCGACGACGACGATGACAACGCCGACGACGACGACGCCGACGACGACGACGCCGACACCGACGACGACGAAGACAACGACGACGACGACGACGACGGCGGCGACGCCGCCAACGAAGACGACGACGACGACGACGACGAGGGAGGAGGGAGGACGACGACGGCGACAACGACGACAACGACGAGGGAGGAGGGAGGACGGCGACGAAGCGAACGACG